CGTCTCGACTTTTCGAGACGAGACTGGCTTTTGGTCTCGTCTCGTGAAGTCTCGACGAGACGAGACCAGACTCGTCGAGAGTCTCGTGTAGTCTCGAGTCTCGAGATTTCACTTAAAATTTTTCTTTCATAGGTTTATTATTGGACTATTCTGGGCTATTTGAATATGAAATCAGTAAATTAAATATCAGGGTTACTCTTTACTGTGATTTTTCACTAATTGCTTTTTCACTGTGGCAGTTTGGACTTCCGTTATAATATAAAAACAAAAACCAAAAATACAGGGTGTCCGAAAAATAGCGTAAAAACTCTCCACATAGTAGAGGACCCTTTGAGAAACCTTAGAAAAATAATTAAATTAAAAAAATCCTTCTCCGACAATATTCTTGGTAATATGAAGAGGTAGATGTGAAAATTCACCTTCGAATTCTTCAGGTAGTTACATGGGTATTTAATTTAATTCTCTGACATATTGTCAACGGGATATTTTCAGTGTTGCCAATTTTAATAAATAATAAAATGCAAATAACTTTCTTAAGAATGCCACTAGATTTTTTAAAGTATTTTTCTGGGGTTCCTTGTAGGGTCCTCCACCACGCAGAGAAAAGTTTTTACGCTATTTTTTGGACACCCTGTATAACTCGAGACCAGACTAGACCACTCGATACGAGACGAGACTTTGGTACTCGAGACCGAGACTAAATCACGGTCTCGTCTCAAGATGTCGAGACGAGACGAGACCAACCCTAAGTCTCGTCTCGCGGCACCACTATTAATGGCCGTCGTAAGTTGTTCGCAAGCACGTGTGGCTATCATCTTCAGAGGTGCTTCCATGTCCGATTCTGGTAGCAGACTGACGCGTTTCTGACCGTAAGTTGTATTTATGTGTGAGTGGCTATGGTGGGGGAGGGGCGGGGCTTCGCAGCACGTGGCTAATCTGAATTTCTCTGTACTCAATTGGATCTTTGTTGCGTTTTTGAGAATCGGGTTCAAGATTTAATTAAGTTTTAGTGTTTCTTCTTTCCTGTTGAAGTTCTCCGTATGCTTGTGAATTTCTATAGCTTTACGTACAAGACGATTGTGGTATCCGGAAGTCAATGCAAGAAGCTTGACCTCACCAAAGAGTATTTCGTGATTCCCTTCACTAAGCGCATGCTCCGCAACTGCCGATTTTTCTTATTTTTTCTAGTCTGCAGTTTATTTTGTGCTCGTTGATCCTGGTTTTCATGGATCTTTTTGTTGTTCTTATGTATACCTTACCACATGTGCATGGTATACGATAGACTCCAGCGCTTGACAGTGGGTTCCTTTTATCCTTGGCTGATTTGATTGATTGCGGTATTTTCCTTGTTGGCTTGAAGATTCTTTTTATGTTGTGTTTCTTCAACTATCCTGTCTGTCACCCGAGAAATGAAAGGTAGATATGCATCAGCCACCACTGGTTGTTCCTCTACGTTTAGTCGTGTGGCAGTTTTGGAACGCATGGCCCTATCGATTTCAGATGCATTGTATCTATTTGAATAAAAGGACTACTTTGGTGTGATCCAGTTCTTGCTCAAGATGTTGTGGCTCGCAGATGTTCCGAGCACCTTCTGTTAACGTTGTTATAATTCAACGTTTTTGCCTTGGATGGTGGTGTGAGAGTACATGCAGGTACCTGTCTGTGTGTGTAGGTTTTTGGTACACTGTGTGGCTTAATTTTCCTCCAGATTTCTTTATGACCACATCTTAAAAAGCGATTTCTTGGGTTTCCTTCTTTTCCATGGAAAATTGTATGCTGGGATGATACGCGTTTAGGTAGCCTGAGAACTGTTTAAGCTTCTCTTCCCCATGACTCCAAAACACAAAGATATCATCTACGTATCGAAGCCATACCGTTGGTTTCTGGTCAAAAAATTCGATAGCTTTCCTCTCGAAATCCTGCATAAAGAAGTTGGCTATGACCAGGCTGAGCAGACTACCCATAGCTACACCGTCCGTTTACTCGTAGAAATCGCTGTTCCATAGGAAGTTACTACCACTTACCAGTGAGAAATGTCCGGAAAAGCTCAACTATGTCATTGGGGAAGGTACTTCATATCAAGTTGAAAAATTCTGTCAATGGCACTCTTGTGAATAAAGACACATCAAAGCTAACTAGGATATCCCTATGTTGAAGCATATTATCCCTGCGGACCATGTGCTTAGTGAAGGAAATCACTTAATACTCTTAGGTGAGGTCAAGCTTCTTGGACCGACTTTCGGATGCCACAATCGTCTTATACTTGAAGCTATAAAAATATACGAAGAACTTCAACAGGAAAGAAGAAACTCTAAAACCTAACCAAATCTGAAATCCAATCCTCAAAAACGCAAGAAAGATCCCATTGAGTACAGAGAAAGTTCAGATTATTCCCGCCCCTCCCTCACAACAGTCACTCACACATAAATACAACTTACGGTCGGGAATGCGTCAGATTCCGAGTTGAGCTCTCGCAGAGTAAACGTGTCTTGCTCTAAGAGAGATCTCAAAGCAATTCTTAGTGTATCTGACGGTATTGTAGATTTGTGCCAATACCCGATACTTACGAGAAACCAAGTGCGAAATTTTAGTTTAAAAGTGAATTAAGTCGTGAAGTAGTACGCGTCGCGAACAAGTGCCGAGTTACCCGATCCCAAGTTCATCAGAAAACAGGGACTTGAGGAACCAGGGTGTCATCAGGAAACCAGCCAAGAGGATCCTGGAGAACAAGGACGAAGAAGAAGTGCCCGTTTACACCAAACTAGGGAAAATCAACATGCCTAGAGTAAGTCCCGTCCCATCATTGGATAATGAGTATGAAGATATGGAACAAGCCAATGTTCCCACCAGTTACCGTTTAGGACTATTGACGGTAGATCAAACCGGAGCAGAAGAACCCACAGCAGCATCCCCAAAAGGGGGTGCCCTTTTTGGTATTGTAAAATGCCATCTTGTTGTTTGCGGTTTGTAATTCAATTTCAAATATGAAATCTAACCCTGGAAATGGCCATTCCTACCTAATTACCGCAGCAGAAGAAACTAACATAGGTTTGCTCAAAAAGATCAAACACATCGATCATACCTGCATGAAATAGGCAACAACAACAACACAACATCCGACCACTTTCCAGTCTGATTCAAAATCGATGTATAATTACCGTTACAAGTATTATCCCATTTAATATCAAAATAAAAAAGGGAAAATTTGGTGGAATGAAAATAGAAAAAACAAAATTACTTTTGTCACCGTGATTTTTTTTTTTTTAATTCTTTGTTTTAGTGTATTTGGCCAAAAGCAAAAATCAAAAGCGTAAAATAGAAAAAAAAAGGCTATGAAACGAAAGCCATCAATAGAGTGCTTTCGAAACTGTTAATAATTTTTATTCCAGCTACTGGATAGCTCGAACGCGGAATGTGTTAAATAGTCAAAAGATTTAAAGATAAAAATGTTCATTAAAATGCTTTGCTCTGGTGGAGTATAAATAGTTTAAAGGTGAGCATAAAATGGTGGACAATAAACCGGCTAATACTTTTTGATCCCTATCGGCGAATTTCTCGCCCGATGCTCAAGCCCTATTGTTTTCGTACTTTTTCTTGGCTTCAGCTAACAATTTATTGCCACAGGATATGAGATTCTCGAAAACAGTAAAAGCTGTGCTTGATGGCAAGAGAAATTTCGCACAACAACAATTTTGCTTTTATCTACAGTATGTGATTTTTCATTATTATTGCCATACTTATTGAACACAGAAAAAAGATAGTTAAAATCGTTCATGGAATATTGTACCTTTAAATGGCTGTTTATTAATTACTAAATGCATCCAAGTTGTTACTACCCAGGCAAACCGCAAATGCGGACGCAGTTTCCCTTTTGATCTGGTTCAATTTGGCGGTTTATTTTGCTCTGACCTTCTTCATTATTTTCGGTGCTATGCATTACCATCTAATTGGTAATGGGGTAGTACACTATATATGAAAATCAGTAAAAAAACTGTTCATTATTCTATAGGCTAAATGGTGATGGTATAGTGGGATACTAAATTATTTTCCAGCATAGTGTCTATAGAATTAGTCAGAGAACTTCAACAGTTCAACGACGCGTGGTGTCAGTGAATCATGAAACGTCACAGTAACGTGACAGTAACTTGTTTACGTTGTTTGATGTAGTGGTTTGTTTGCGTTGTTTGTATTGTGACATTTTTGCTGAATTTTTACCTTTTGAATTTTGGTAACTTTGGAGGCCTTAGTTTGAGACTACTCAAACCTATACAGGGTGTCCCACGGTGGATGGCGTATTAGACGTTTATGGAGAACTAAAAAGCGGATCATTTTGAAAATTTGGCAGCCGGGATAAACGACCATGATCTACACTTTAAAAATATTTTTGACCATGCGGTGTTGCCGCTTCTACTCTAAACTAGTGGCAACATCACTGTTTTAAAAGGAACACCCCGTATGTGATTGCATATTTGGATTCTACGTAAGATTCTGAGCAGATTTCATGTGATATACCCTATACCTAAATTCAACTGTTTTGGAAATATTGACAGTTGAAAATTGACTTTTTGCAACTTTGACAGGCTGTAAAACCTAATTGGTTAATTTTAGAGGAGAACCGATTTCACATTCCTATCTTAGATTTTGACAAACTATCATTTGACACCAACTTTGAACTTAACTGGAGATTAAATTTAACTGAAATTTTTAATCATGGATTTAATTCAAAGTTGGTGTCAAATGATAGTTTATAAAAATCTAAGATAGGAATGTAAAATCGGTTCTCCTCTAAAATTAACCGTTCAGGTTTTACAGCCTGTCAAAGTTGCAAAAAGTCAATTTTCAACTGTCAATATTTCCAAAACAGTTGAACTTAGGTATAGGGTATGTTGCATAAAATCTGCTCAGAATTTTACGTAGAATCCAAATATGCAATCACATACGGGGTGTTCCATTTAAAATAGTGATGTTGCCACTAGTTTAGAGTAGAAGCGGCAACACCGCATGGTCAAAAATATTTTTAAATTGTAGATCATGGTCGTTTATCCCGGTTGCCAAATTTTCAAAATGATCCGGTTTTTAGTTCTCCATAAAGGTCTAATACGCCATCCACCGTGGGACACCCTGTATAGTGCGTAAAAAATGCGAACTACAACGGACCCAAGATTTGTACAGGCCGTATGCTATAGGGTCCAGTTGAAAAGGGATCATCCCCAGTGCATTGTTAAAGCTCGTATCACGCCAGAACATAAATTTCTAAAACAAAGCTATTTGGTTAGTGTGTGCATTGCTGAAAAATGCCATAAAGTAATTGATGTGAAATGTAATGACTGCGAAGCGAGTGAAGGTAGGTAACTAATAAGCAAACCATTCTTGAAAGTCAAGTAAACCATGATTGTTAGGGGGCTGCAAGCATGGAATAGCGCTGATTTTTTGGTTATTGGGGAGACCTCTGTGGGAGACATTTACATCCGTCAGTAACCTCAACCGCCTGTTACTGGAAGAAGTCATCGTTAGCAAAACTGGGGAATTTGAAGCCAACAACAACTGATAATATTTTAAAATATAAACGTCCTCCATTACGGTCAAAAACAACAGCATTTCTGGATAAAACTGTTCAGCTACTATTAGAGCAAAACTCAGTCCATTGGCAACTGCTTCCGGACCATCCCCACTGTTGTTTAGCAAACTTCCCTTCACCACATGCTACCGCTCCTATGATCAATGCAGATCATTTTCTCCAATTTGCGAAAACAGTTTTAACTCACGAAATATGCAAAAAAAAATTCAAAGAACTAAAACGCAGTCTGAATGCCCAGAATGGTTTGCTGCTCGATTTGGCCGAATAACAGCTTCAAAACTACACGCGGTTGCACACTGTCATACATATTATGATGGAATAACACTACAGTCAGTACTTGGTGCGCGCAAATTTACCCGTAGCAAAGCCATGAGACGGGGCTTAACATTAGAAAAACAAGTGCTACAAGTACTTTGTGAAGAAAAGACGATTTGTGCAAAAAGATGTGGATTCACCATCAAACCAGAAGTGCCCATATTTGGTGCCTCACCTGACGCGATAACGAAGCACCATTGCATTGAAATCAAGTGCCCTTCAAGAGCTGATACAACATAAAACTATTACAAGAATGGAATAATAACAGAAAAGTGTTATGTTCAAGTGCAATTGCAAATGTTTCTTTGCGATAGAAAAAAAAATCTTTTTCATGTTGTGTCTCCTGATTTTGAAGAGGATAAACAAATTACTACTATTGAAGTAGCGTTGGATAAGGCTTATTGCAGCCAGATGATCGCTGATGCGCTCCAATTTTGGAAAGCAGCGGTATTCACAAAACTAAATTCTTAGTTACTACTTAACATTTATTTAATAAAAGTCCAAGTTTAGTCAATATTACTTTATCATTACACCCTGTAGCCTGTAGATTACTTATGGCAGAACATATAATCACAATGAAATCTAAATGAACTACTAATGGAAGTGACGTACATGCATGAGGGGTCAACATACGAAATTCGCGCAGATGACGGATAACACGTTCAATATGTGTTCGTAGTGCTGCGATGAGTTTCGATTCTCTAACCTCTGCTTTCAGAGATTTTTTTGATAGCGTTACACTGTGCGGGCGTACCAATTTGCATTGCTTTCCTCCAGTACCGCGGCAACCTCTTTGAATCCTGTATCGGCTAGAACTTCACAGTGTGGTGGTAGCTGAGACAAGTAGCCAGAGTGGAGAAATATTTCCTTGTCCGATGTACGTCCTCCAAATCCATGGGATACAAAATTTATTAGACCACTTGGTGTTGAGGAAATCAGGTCTTTCACTGTATTTCCGCTTTTATAATCGTTCCATGTTAGAGCTTGCGCTAAGGCGCTTGACGGTTTCGCTATTTAAATTTCAAAGCAGTCGATGATTGATTGCACATTTCTGTAGGTTCCCCAAAACTGTATTGGCAAAGTTTCCTTGATTTTTTGCGCTGATAGCCATGGTACTAATTCCTGCAGGTAACCAGCCAGTAAAGGCAAACATTTAGCAAATATTTTTGCAGGATAGCTGTCGCTATATCCATACTCAATGGCCAGTCGTCTAAATGTATCGTTTGTACGTATTTTCTTCAACGTTGGCAATTATATAATTATACCAAAACTGTCTCCAGGAATGCCCTTATATAGACGTGGGTACCTTTCCATTTCAGCCACCATGTATGCAGTATTTCGTAATCTGGGTACTAAGAGAGCATCGCTACTTGATGAGGACTGATTGCTTGAAGAAGTGGCGCTTGATGAAGGTTGGCTCTGTATATCTGAACTTACTGATTTTTCACTACCACTTAGCTGCAAACTGACATTAACTTCTTGTGTTCTTCCTGCTCTTGTATTTGTACTTTTTGTCGCTGTGTCAGGTTTTACTTGTGCTACGACTATTACGTGCCAATTTGTTACGTGGCACAAAACGGGAGGGAGAACTAAATAATGAAACTTGAAGGAAGTGGGACAGAGAATGGGTAACTATAACAGAAAGAATAGAAAGAAAGGGTTGGTTGGTGGCTGAAATCTAGAAACGTGATTTCGTGTATAGGGTTGCCGACTAGCTTCCAATACGGAGAGTGGTGTGGGTTAATTAATTAACTAAATATAGAGCGCCACCTACTTTTTCCCTGCAGTACACGAAATCAACCGATATAACGAAAGCAGGAAACTTCTACGGAACTATAGCAGCACAACCTGAAATATAAACAAGAAGAAGGGACAAAAGTGAAACGCTTTGCTACAATCAGGTACGGGTCTTTAATTAAAACTCGAACAGAATGGGTTTGACTCCAGAGCAGGTTCGGAGAAGAAAAGAAATCGCCTAAAAACTAGAAGTACCTAACCTATATACTCTAAAAATAGTAAATACAATAAATTAATTCGAGTCCCTTAAAGTAAAGAGTACCGTACAACAGCAATAATACCTGAAATATAAATGATCAATATACAAGCTCACTAAATGCAGTACCTTCGTAAATGGCCATTTAACCCCAGTGTACAAGTATTTACCTGTATTCAGTGCAGCATTAATCAAAGTGGAAGTAACAATACGTAACCTGAAGGGCTTTAATATTATGTAACAATATAGGTAGTATAGATACCTAGATACCTCATAAAATTGTAGTACTTAACAATACATAACCTGAAGGGCAAGTTTCATAAACAAAAAAAAAGAAAAAGGTAATATAGTTATAATTAATTAAAAATTGAAATAACAACACATAATCTGAAGGATAATTTTAAGGTAGTAAATCTGCGTTGTTGTGGTGTTTTACTCCAACAAGGGGTTGGCAAGGTTTGATACTAAGACAATACAACACACTTATCAAACCTGAGTAGTCCCTAAACACTTGGGGAACCTTACGGATGGGGTCAATATCTTCCAGTGTTTCCAATGGCCTGGGACTGGATCAGGGCCGCAACAAGAAGCAACCTGGCCCTGGGCACTGAAGTTCAGTAACTAGGAGTCACTAAGGCTTCCAATGGTCTAGAGGAGGCTGAAGATTGTAGGTACTACTTGAAATATACAGTAAGCTGAACGTATAACTCTTTACTAAAAGTCAGGGACTAAAGCGTGACGAATAAAAGGTGACATCTAAAGGTAACGATTAAAACGTAACGTCTAAGACTGAAGATTAAAGTGTAACTTCTAAAGGTGATGAATAAAGGCCTGAAACAAATGGACGTTATGAGACAGGGCGTGGAGCAATAGAGGTAGGTATGTCCGATATTCGGAATTTAACCGTATAATTAACAGAAAACTATGCTTTTACATAGGAAATAGAGAAACAGAGAAGACTAATAAGAAAAACGACTCACCAAAATACTTTGGCCTTTAGGAACAAACAATTGGACACGTTGCTCTTTTCCGACTCACAAAAAAAATCCGCACAAGGCGATTGGGTGCTAAAATAACGGATTAGCCACCCTAGATCTATGAGCGAAAACTAGACAACTCAGAAAATCGGCAAAATGTGCCTGAGGAATTTTCCCGAACACTTAATCGTGAAAAGTCCTCGACCTGATTGACCTCTGCTTGTCCCTGCAATGTCCTTTAAAAAGTGTCTGTCAAAACTCCAAGGTGGAAGGTACTGGGGATTTTGATGGTAGTTGGGGCATGGTGCTTATTCAAATTAAGTTAGTATCGGTCATTGACTCTATTTGGAGCGCTGTCAATCTAGTCAATCTACTCGGATCAGACAATCAGCTGTTCTAGTGTAAATATTGTGATTTTGTTTGTTAATAAATTAATTGTCTATTTATTTTAACCCTACTAACAGGAAATCAATTCCATTAATAAACCTCTAACTCAACGATTCTGGAAAGAATGAAAAGTTTGATGAAAAGTGTGGCTACAACTATTGGATAGAAAACAGTGGCTTGAGGAAGGTATGCTATTCAGAGAGGTGAATAAGCTTATTTCCTTTTATTTTGGTGCGGGAAAAATCATCCCGTAACACGACATGGCGTACATTTTGTTGTGTTTAAGTGCTTTTTGTTTTCTGCGCCCAACTCCCTTTTTTTACAGTACAAAACGAAATTTGAAACTTGTCTGGCGATGATCTCACGGCAGCATAATTAGTCCCCAGTACATTGACCCTAAAATTTTGTAACTCATGTACACGCCAAACTTCCTGAGCGGCTTCATAACACCAAGTCGGACAATATTTTTCATATGTCCCGGGCGATGGGACATTGCCGCGCTAGCTCTTCGTGAAGTTGTCGTTCTGACGTCCCTAAGGAAGTTGATACATGTACGTGTAGTTTCAATGCCAATCGACTGTTTTTTATATTACATTAACGATATCACATTTGTCGGACAAAAACCATGTGGCTTTGGGGAAGGTCCGGCTCCCCCAACATGTCGCTGTGGCGTCCCTAAGGAAGTTGATACATGTATGTCCGACAAAAATAATTATGAATAACAATGTAATTTTAAAACATGTGTAGTAAATGTCGGACAAATAAAATGAGTATTAAAGTCAGTCGGACAACAAAAATCCTTTTGATCAATTTCTGCCGAAATTCAGGATCTTCACTCCTGAGATTGCACAAAAAACACGACTGAATATTCATTCTTTCTCACACGCGTGGTTTTGAATGACCGTTCACTAAATAATTTCCGTAAATACTCGGAGAACTATCAAAAAAACAGATCAGGGAATGTGACACAGGGCCCCACAGGTACTTGACAAAGTAGGTAAATAATAAACTGACTAATATGCACGTTGCGTTAAGGCAAACTAATTTTAATTTTTTCATTGATTGTCTCAAATTTCTTGTCCGACAAATGTGATATCGTTAATGTAATGTAAAAAACTGTCGATTGGTATTAAAAACACATGTACATGTATCAACTTCCTTAGGGACGCCACAGCGACATGTTGAGAGCGTCGGACCCCCCCGAAGCCACGTGATTTTTGTCCGACATATATGATATCGTTAATGTAATACAAAAAACAGTCGATTGGCATTAAAACTACACGTACATGTATCAACTTCCTTAGGGACGCCACAGCGACATGTTGGGGGTGTCGGACCTTCCCCAAAGCCACATGGTATTTGTCCGACAAATGTGATATCGTTAATGTAATGTAAAAATAGCTATTTATACAATAAGTTGCGAAATGAGTGTCTTTTAGGCACGCGACGTGAAAATTGTCCAACGAGGCAAAGCCGAGTTGGACAACACGTCGAGTGACTAAAAGATTTCGTTTCGTAACGTATTGTATACAAGATTTTTTCTACTGACGTTTCATAATAAAAAAACACAATTTTATTTCAATGTTTGTCGCCTGCTTTTGCTTGACACCTTTCATGTTGGTGACTAATATTCATAATAAATACAAAACAAAATTCAAATTTGCATTTAGTGTGTTTTTTATTTCTGAACAATGAATAACACTTTTAGGCACTAGTGCTTAAAAGTTACTTTTACGCACTTGAAAGTCGCTTTTACGCATTTGAAAGTCACTTTTACGCACTGGAAAGTCACTTTTACGCACTGAGTGCCTAAAAGTCACTTTTACGCACTGAGTGCTCAAAAGAATGTCATTTCAAAACTAAAATGACAATCGAAAAGTTGC